TGTATAGTACTTAGAGGCAGTAAATCTAAGATCAGCCCTAATAAATTTGATTTATGGATAGACACAGAAGTTTGTACTTTTATATTTTTAATAGAGTTCTTTAGGCATTTGTTCATTTATTTGATTTTAAAGCATTATTTAAAATTAAGATCATTATTTATGTCAAGATTAGATACAGGGCAGATAAAAACTGTTGTATATTCTAACAAAATGTGTTTAGTGTAGCCAAGGAGTGATATTTGGAATTTTTTAGTGTAATCCTTTATCAAAATTACCAATGAAGCCCTAAGACAGCTGTGTAATATTGTTTTTAAAATTTCTCCAATTCTTTCCATCAAGGTGGCTAGAGAAATATATTAATCTAATATGCACAGCCCATATCATGATGACCATCCTGCAATTATCTTTGACATAAAACTCCCATTCTTGCAAACATTTATATTATTGTAAAAGACAGCTTAGAAATAAACCTACAAGTATTTATTACTCCATCTGACTATCCAGTACAGAATAAATATTGTGTAATTGCAAAATTAGAATGAAAAAATAAAATCTGGGAGTATAAAAATTTGCAATGAAAAGTTGGAACTCTTATATAATATTTAATTTTACACATATACCATGTTCGATATATTTATTAGATCAACATATAAATGGCTTAAATGGCTTTTGGGATAGGGCCCTATCCCAAAAGACTGGAATGCTATGATAAAACTCAAGAGGAACTTCAACAAACTATTAGGTTACTTCTTGCTTTTTCATCAATTTTGGAGACACATTCAGTTTTTGGTAATGTCAGTGTTGTGCCATACTGTTGACTGTCCACTGTGTTCCATGATATATCCAATGCCTTGGAAATATTTTTGTACCATTCTGCTGAGGGATACCTTTCAACAATGAGATCCCTTTGATACTTTGTAAGCTCTTTGCAGACAATAGCTTTTGCTGTAAGAGGCAACTGAATAAATGTCAGAAAAATCCTAGTAGACCTACTTAAGTTTATATGGGCTTGATCAGATTCTCTTTAATTGATGGCAGGTGTATATTGACTACTATTTAACTTTAGTTTGAATGAGATTGGTTAATTCTGAACACAGCTACAGCCCTATGTGTAAAAGGAGTGTGCACATCACATCATCACTTTATTTTTTTTTTATATTTTTCCCCCTAAAAGATTTTAGTTTGTTTTTCAATTGTATTGTACAACTTTCATGTTATATTAAAGGTGGAAAAAATTCTGAAATGATTCATCCTGGTCTGATTATTTAATCTCTCAGAAACCTTGCATTTTAATGGGTGTATGTAGATGTTTTATACGCACTGTATATAGTAGAAAGTAGATGTGCATTTGGTGGAAAAGCAAAATAAATGGTATAAATGAAACAAAAGCAGAGGAATTTTTGTTAGCAGACTGATCCCCCAAAATGCAGAAAATCTGTAAAGATCGGATTCTACTTCCATAAATGTAAAAGAAAAAATAGAATGAAGGTTGGAGGTTGGGAAAAAAAACATACATAACTCAGGCTGAAATTTTCTAGTTCTAGAAACCGGAGCTTCAGCTTTGCATCCTCAGGAACAAATGAAAGGAAGTCAGCAAAGCCAGACTTGTTTGGTTATGAGGGATTCTCAATAGAAGGTCTATATACAAATATCTAGAAAATATTATTAAAACAATTAGAATCAAATTCTTTGCAGATTATTCCAAGGCTATTCTGTATTTTTTATATCAACCATTAAAAGCTCAGTAGAAAATTCATATGGATTTGTATAGTAATAACTATTTTGGCACTGTGAACAATATATCAAGGGAAAAAATCCTCACCTAAATACTGAAAGTTGCTACAGAAATGTTCAATTGTCCCAGAAGGATACAGTCTTATGAGCAGAGCACCTATGTTATCCAGTTGAATTTGCTAGTTAGACAGCAATTAAGGCCTCCAAGAGAATGAAGGCTTTTCCCTCCAAAGCTATTCCAAAATTAGTATTTTTTCCTACTACATTGCAAGTTATACAGCCAAATATTCCTTAATGAAGTAAAAGAATATTTTCTATTTGCTTTGAATTTGAAATAGCTTCTTTTCTCCATTACATTTTTATTCCCATATTTCTTGACCTAATGCATTCACAAAATAACATAAGAATTATCCTCACAAATTGTTCCATCATAGTGAAAATATGACTCATAAAAAGCATTAGCTCAAATCCCCAATTTTAAACGTAAAGGGGAAGTGCAATAAAATGGTCTGACCAAAATTGTACAAAGGGAAGCCTGTTGTTTGATAGACTTAATCCTCACTGATAGATGGAAGTGACAATTGAGAAGCTGTTCCAGGTAGAAGCATGCTTCTATCTCATTTAAATCAAGGTGAGTGTGACTATTTGTCTCAGCAAGTGACACCTGGTCAATGTTATCTGAAATCTAAGCTGGGTTAGGCCTTATGAATACCTAATACTTGAACATGTGACCATCAAAAAATACAAGGGCTGGAGGCAAAACAGAGAAGTAAAATATAATCTTAGAACAAGGGTGTCAAACACATTGTCACGTTATCATGTGACGTATCACTTTTCCCTTTGCTAAATTAGAGGTAGGTGTGGCCAGCATATGATGCATCTGGCCCACGAGTTTGACACCCGTCTTAGAACATTAAGCCATTTTGTATATCATTCCCAAAAAACTACATGGATATGAAATTAAAAGAGTTGATTCAAAGGAAATATTACCTTGCCTAATCATTTGACTTATATTTCACACATAGCTCAAAAAAGCTGCTACCCCCTTAAGAATCTGTGATCCATCCAGGTCATATTGTGCAGACAAATAAATTTTTATTCAGCTTTCCACTGATCATAAAGAAAAATCTGCAACAAGTACTGTTATCAGTATTTTTGCTACTGTTTCATTTCAGTGTGTTAAGTTTATAACTAAGAGAAGTTACTTCCATTTGTAACTGAACTTGAAATTATACAATTCCTATTTGAGATTTTAATAACTATAGGGCTACAAATACACACAGTATATCTTTAAAGCTATACTTTAAAACAAGTATTTTGCAATTTGATTTCTGATCATTGAAGACATTCTAAACAAAAAAATGTATGTAAAACATCAGATATTTTTCTCTTATTTTTAAAATGTACTTGGAAAGGTTGAACATTAACTTTTAGGCTATTATTAAATAGCTATTAATTTTTGCTCACTTTTAATTGCTACTATTTAACACTCATTTTAGAAGTTTCTTCCATTTGTTAATAATGCCACAGTATGGTATATTTTTTGATGTTACATGTTTACATTCTATTTTGAACAGATTTTTAAAATTAACTTTACTTATGCAAAAGCATCTTTTAGAGAAGCAAACAGAAAATACTGCATAGTGGTCTGTGTAAGGCCAAAGCAGGACAATGACAGAAAGCTGGGCTAATTTATTAGCTTTTTATACAGAAAGGGAAGTTGTCATTCCAAATGCTATAGGAGGACTAGAGCCATCATTCACTGATCCTTAATCCAGTGTATGCGCAGAGAAGGCGGGCTTTCAGTAACAATAGTCTGGTGGAGCCTGAAGCTTCAGTCAGCCTGCAAACCTTCCCCCTTGCAGAGCTATGTACAGTAGCCTACACAGGACAATAAAACAGAGTTCACATACAGGCTTAATAAAAACAAAAGTTTTCTAGATCATCTAATCCAAGGGTGAACAAAGGGGGGGAGGAGAAGAAAAATAAGAATTAAAAAGAGAATGTGTGTGGGGGGGAGATTCAGCCTTTTTCATTTGTGACCATCAAAATGGTTAAACATCGAAAAGTCAGAGGGAAAAAAAGCAATTACTCCACCTTCCCTCTTTGTGAACATTCTTCCAGCATGCTGCATTATTACACCACTGTGGCAGACAGCTATTCCTATAACATCCTTGTTTTCTGTAACGCTGACATATGCATTCCTGAAGACTGCATACACTACCTCTGGTGGGAAAACTGTTAACAGACTCTAGACACAAAGGAAAAGCTGCCAATTGGTGTAATAAATAACAAGAATTACAACAGCCTATAACTATCAGTATACCTCAAGCAGAACGCCAGCAAATCCCCCTTGCATCAGACTGCTTTGACAAAGCACACTGCATGCCCACAAAGTCTCTGCCACACCCATCTTCTCGCTGCAGAATCTCCACAATACAAAGCTTTCCAGCAAATCACCTATAAACCCCCACACACCTTACCCAAATCCCAACATTCCCTTGAAGGAAGGTCTCTTCGCCTTCTCAAAAAGTATCCGTCTCCTAGGTGGCTACCAGAACAGGGTTTTCTGATGACCCACTTCCAAAACTTCTACCAATTCCTTCCATGTTCACAAGTTTAACCCCTCATCCCTCATAAACCACTTGAACCCTCAAAACCTTTTCCACCAGGCAAAACCCATGCTCCCCCGCCTGCTTCTTTCCTTTGGGATCGGCTTATCTTTCTCCGCTTCTCAAACCCTTTTCTAAATCACACCGCTACCAATCCGCCCTCCTTCATGTCACAAGCTGCTTTGCCCAGTTCGGCTGACAATTCCCTCCGCCTCAACACACAAAAGAAAAACGGTACTTCCAAAGACCACCTTCCCCGACCCTCACACCCCCGGCCGTTTTCTTTTTTTTTAAAAAAAAAAGCCGTTCATTCCCACCGCACGTATTTCAGGGCCTCGGAAAGCCAAGCCAACTTACTTGGTCCCCGCCCTGTACGCGCGCACACACACACACACACATTTTTTGGCCTCAAAGCGCCTTTTCCACGACCATCCCTTCATCACAAAGCCCAGCAGCCACGCCCCTCGGACATCTTCCGGGAAATGCGTTCCTCCACCAGCTTTCCACAAGCTGGCGCTCCTCCAGATACGTCGGGCTGCCTTTCTCAGCGTGCCCGGCTAGCAGGCCGGGTTAGACGGTGCTGGGCGATGCCGAAAGGAGCACCGGCGTCCGGAAGCCGCCTCCGGACCTCCCGCCCGCCCGCCGTCCACTCACCGGGAGAGCCTGGGGCGGCGCCCTTCTTGGCGACCGAGGGCTCCTCTCGCTTGGGGGGCAGCGGGGCGCTCCGGGGAGGGATGGCGGGTGCGCGGGGCTCTTCCCAGTGCGGAGGTGGCAGCGGGGCGCTGCGGGGAGGCTCCCTCTCCTTCTCCCCCTTAGGGGCGCTCTCGGAAGCGGCAGCGACAGGGCTGGTGGTGGTAGAGACGACGGGGGGAGTCGCCCAAGCGGGCTGGGGGAATGGGGGCGGGCTGGGCGGCTGCTCCCCCGAGGCACCCCGATCCACCAGCGGCGGGGAGGAGGTGGGCGCCGGCGGGGCCGTAGGCGCAGCGGCGGGCTTCCTCTCCCTCACTTCCAGCTGCTCGTCATCCAGCTCCTCGTCGTCGTCTTCCTCCTCCTCGTCGTCTTCGTCCTCCGGGTCCCTCACAAACTGGTATTGGAAAAGGGGCTGCTGCGGTTGCCGCCGGTCCTGCTCTGAGGCGGCCGTGGTGGAAGAGACCAAGGGAGATTGGTCCGGGTCATCCATGCTGGTCTCCGGGCTCTTTTCTCAGGAACAATGAGCCAGATAACAACCGCCGAGCGATAAAAAGTAGAAGGGGGGGGGGGAGAGAAAAAAAGGGCTGGAGCTTGGCGCGCGAGGAGGGGCGGAGGCGAAGGAGGGAGGGAGGGAGCCAGGCAGGCAAGACGGGCGGCTGCGCAGCCACCGCCGCTGGGAGAGATGCTGCGATGCCGCGGGAGAAGAGAACAGCCGCGCCAAGCACGCCGCCGCCTCCACGCCCTACTGAGTCACCGAAGGCGGTTACTGGCGCGCGCGCAAAGTTGCAAGTTCTGGGCGAGGCGCGGAGAAGGGCGGTTCCCTTCGCCCCGCCCTCTCTGCCGCTAGCCTATCCGAGCAGAGAAAGATAACCGGGTGGGCCAATGGGAGGGGGGAGGGGGAGAGAGCTGCAGTTCCCGGAGGAGGAAGAAGCCCTGCCCGCTTTTCTTCTGCTGCTGCTGCTGTATTCTTCGGCGAAGGAAAAAAGCGGTTGGGCTGGGCCACATGAGGGTTAGCGTCGCTGGTAGGGTACAGCGGTAAAGGGAAAGACGGAAGTTCGGCGCCAGGCTCGGAAGGGATTTACGCGCTCACAATTGCACGCGGGGGGGCCGGGGGGCAGGAAGAATTGGGAGACTGCACGTGCAACCCACGGCCAGCTGTAGTCATTTGCAATTTTGCCTTCGCTGCCGAATGCTTTACGGCAGGGGTCTCCATCCTTGGCAACTTTAAGCCTGGAGCTGGCTGGGGAATTCTGGGAGTTGAAGTCCTCCAGGCTTAAAGTTGCCAAGGATGGAGACCCCTGCTTTACGGGGTGCCATAAAACTAAAGGAGCTCGCAGATAATATATACACGTTAAACAACTAACACTATACCGCAAAGATGCTTGAACAAAAAAATTTACAACTCAAAAGTAACGCCTTGTGTATCTTAATATACAGGTAGTCCTTGACTTGAGGAGCACAATTGAATCCAAAATTTAACCGCTAAGAGATGTTTGTTAAGTAAGTTTTGCCCCACTTTACAACTTTACTTGCCACAGTTGTTAAGTGAATCACTGCAGTTAAGTTAGTAATAGGGTGGTTCAGTGAATCTGGCTTCCCCGTTAACTGCTTGTCAGAAGGCCACAAAAGGTGATCACAGGACCCCAGGACATTGCAACGGTCATAAATATGAGTCAGTTGCCAAGCATCTGAACTTTGATCACATGACCATGGGGATGCCACAATGGTCAGAAGTGCGAAAAATGGTCAGAAGTCCCTTTTTTCAGTGCCTTGTAAATGGTCACTAAATGAACTGATATAAGTTGAAGACTACCTGTAGTCACTTTGACGGAGGCTGCATGCTGATGGACAGATGTGATTATTGTTAAAATTTAGGAAAGGTAAACGTGAGAGTGGTGGCCTCTCCTTAGATTAGTGTTTGTCCAATGTGGCAACTTTTAAGATACGGAATTCTGGAAGTTGAAGTTCACACATCTTAAAGTTGCCAAGTTTGAGAAATACAGCTTTAGACTATGAGGCCTTCCAGAGCTTTCAGTCTGAAACTTTAACAGATGAGGTTGAAATTGTGCTGAGGCAGAAGTTTTCCTATGAACTGAAGATTTCACCAAAGCAATCTGAATCAAACTGTCTTAATCCATTCTTTATATTCAAGTAATATTTGTTGTAGAACATGAAAAGCTGCATTAAATCAGATGAGCCAAGGTATTATATTCCAAATTTAGTATATTGATTTTAGCGTAATTTGCAAAAATATTAAAAATTACAATAGCGTTTGTGCTGAATCCACCTTTTTCCAATATATGTTTAGTAGCATCAGAGGCTATGGCATAAAGAGGTGTGAGGAAAATTGGTTATCTTGCTATTCCAAAGTGGATATTCCACCTTAAAAATATCTGTCACAGGGGACTGCACTGAATGTTGGAGCTCAACAGTATAAAGCTGCAGATTTATCATAAGGAAGTAAATTCTATTAAACTCAATGGAACCAACTTTATACATACAAAAATAAAGACGTTTAGGGCCAGTTGCCATTAATATGCTGGCATATTTCTCCATAACATCTGAAATTAATAGCACAGGGATACACTGAGCCAGTGTCTGGATACAGTGATAGGTTGCTGATAAATCAAACTTGACAGGATAAAAACCTTATGGGTGGGTGGACCCAACCTACAGGAACTGAGAAATCTGTTCTAAATGAGTTTACTATAATCCCACAGAAGGAGGAGGTTCATATTTTAAAATACTCTTAACAGTCATTGTCACTGGCAGTGCAAGTAACCTTTGGGCCTATGACTATTACCAGTTTTAGCTGGTTGTGTGCACTTTTTAAAGTAGATTGTCTAGCTACAGTTGCCTTTGTAGGTAATTGTAGGTTTGAATTACTGTGATTCTACGTGTTCCTGGCTTCATTTCTAGATACCTGCACAATAACTTAATTATTATAAATGAAAATTTTCTGTGAATTCAACTATTTATGGGATTGTCATTGCATGGCTACCATAGACTAGCTTCTCAGTGATACTTCCCACTTTTTGACCTATTTTCTCCCCATCCCCCAAAATACATTATTTAGATGCCTACTGAAATTTCATCTTTTCACTCAGGCCATTTTAGTATGAATGAGGGAGGCATCCTTTTTAATCTTTCTCCAGTGCATTTTTAATATATGTATAATCTGCTTTAATTTGTGTTTTAAAATTGGTAAACGAAGATCCTTGTGGAAAAAGTGTATAAATATTTGAGTATATAAATAAGAATGAAAGTTTGAATGAAGAAACATGAAAAGTCAAGTGTTAACCAGGGGTTTAAAGTCATCGGTGCTAAATACATTCATAAATAATACTATACTCCTATCACATGAGAGGAATAAAAATAAATGTCCTCTCAAGTTGGAGAAAGAGTATATAAAGCATGTAGATTAGTAATTATAGGTAAAAGAATTTCCTAAAATATCTGAAATGACACATTTTGATGTTTCAACTTATTTAATTAAATTTATTTATCTATTTCTTAAAATTCAAACTTGGATCTTTCATAAAGAACTTATCTTGCTATTATGTTACAAATCGTAAACAGTGTTCAGGCTATTTGAATGCATTGCTGATCTGCCTGAGCCTAATGCTTTTAGAAAATCTGCCCCATCATGTTAATGAGTCAGAAGCATTGCTAAGCAATACTTTATTTTATTGGCTTTCCAGCTGCAAGAAATGCTTTAATTAGTATTTCGACACTGCGTAGAGTTGGATTTGATAGCATAAATGGTCATATTCTTTGAAACCTGATTTCCATTTTGGCAGGCGCTTGTAAACTAAGTATGGTCTTTGAAATTATAAAATGATTTATCTAGTAGTACCTTTAGGACTACTAGATCTGGGCTGTAAAAATCTGGATTATAATTAGGTGGCAGCAAATTGTAACCTAAAGTTCATCTAATAGTTGCCTACGTTTTTCTCACCCAAATCTGATAGGCCGACCTATGTTTAAATTCAAAATAGTAACATGTAGTTGTCAAAACAATCCCAAAAGCTAATGAGATACTTTGAGTTCTTTTTTAGTGGGACATTTGATTCAATGAATGAACAGTTGACACAAAAATTGCATTGCCGTAGGAAGAAAAGAGAAGAAAGAGGGCAGGGAAATAAATTAACATTTATTTGAAATCTTCTGAATCTTTCAGATTTTTTTTTAAAGCCTCAGCATTTTGATCTTCTGTGAGTAAATGGGACTTTTAGCTTGTCCATAACTCATAATAATTTCTAGAGAAATGTGTTATAGGACAGCTCCTTCTTTAACAATGTTGTTGATACTGAAAATAAATACATTACTTACTACCTGCCAAAATATTCTTCCTTGAAAGTGATAAGAGAAGATGCAACAATACTGACATTTACTCAGCATAATAGGTCCAGCTTCTGAGTGCATTCACTGGCCTGGTGAGAGCTGGGAAACTGTTTAGAAAATGTAGCTTCTGAGTGCAGGAACTGGACTGGTTAGCATCTCTGCTACATTTTCTAAACAGTTTGCCAGCTCTCACCAGGCCAATGAATGCCTTAACTGTTGTTGCTAATAAGTCCTTTTACAGCTCATTTCCCAATACAATCCTGTATTGTTTCTTTCTGTTCATGGATGTTTTTATTAAAACAGAAGCAAATATTCAGTGGCCTGGATCCTAAGATGAGTTTCTAAAAACGAAAAAAAAAAAAAATCCTATCTTTCTTGACATGCCCAACAGAGTCCAGCAAAAATCCGATGCTGGGCTTCAGAGGTCTCTTGTGAGTAATTGGAATGGAACATACAGCAGAAGAAGAATCAGACCACACAGGACTTGGTTCCTGAAATTTTAATTTAAGGAAGCTGATGCCCGTCCCTCAGTTTTCAGGATAGCTGCTGAGGGAAGAAAGGAAACAAAATAGGATGAAGATTAGACAATGAGGGAAAAGGAAAGAAAAGCCTGCTTAGGCTTTGTAAAAGGGTTAAAATCAATAGGCAAGCAGCTTTCCCAAGCAATGGCTAATCTTTGCATTCAAACTCTGAGACATCAGCTCTGTGGTCTTTGCTCTTCAATCTGCTCATTGATGATCAATAGCTATTTTTACTCTTCTTAAAGTATGGGGAGTGTCTCCATTTACCCTGCCCCAGAATCTTTGAGGACTGTCCAAGATGTCCACAAGGAGGGAATCAAAGAAGTCAAGTTGGTAGTCTTAACCATGCAGTCAAAGCCCTACCCTTATTTATATGTGTCAAGATGTAAAATTGGAGCTTTAATTGCGTGGCTGTGGCCACTATCCTGATATTTTGGCACCTCCGCAGACCCTACCCCCCAAAGACCATTAGGGCATATAAGAGAATTATTATGCAATTATATTCATTTCAACATTTTAATTATGATTACCAACACAATATATGAAATACCATCTATGAATTTCAGACTAGGGTGTAGTAAACAGGTCTTTTGATCTGACAGACTATGTTACCCATCAACCTGTTACATAAATTAACTCAGTAAATTGGCTTACATCCACTTTAATTCGTTTTAAAACAGATGTATATCTCCATAGTGTTGTTACTATTCTCTTGCTTATTGTGCTATTTCAAAAGTAGTATTATCTGTGGCTGCAATATCAGAATACAGTTTCCCATATACTTTTGCAACAAAAGCTTTCATAAACAGAGGTGGAGAAAAGATTATAAGAGTATCTAGAGGAGATCAGAGAGATAAATTCTAACATTAA